GCACTCTTTCCCCCGAAGCTGATACAGCATGACCGTTTTAAATTGATTACACCAGGTGCGGCACCCAAAGTGTCACAACACTCTTGCCTGAAAAACGCTCCTCCTGCTCCTGCTTCGGGGGAAAGAGTGCCCCCTTCGCTGCTTGGTCTTTCCTGAAGGGAAGTTTGAAGCCAACACATGGCCGCTGAGGAGCGAAGCACGCCAGAAAGACGTACAGAACAGAACAATCTTAGACTTCCGGCTGAACACTGACTTCCTGCTCGTTTTTGGTTCGGAACCGGGCCGAAAAACGCCTTAACTCCGGAATCGGAATCAAACCGTGCATTTTCAACCCGGTCGAAAGACTTTTCGCTCGCAAAAGCAGCTCATCGTTGACAGCTCCAGACGTCCACAGGTGAGGCCCTGCGCTTGTGTGGGCTCGTCATGGTAGTGTTTAGGCACAGCAGCGTTCTTTTGTCAGCCCCCAGGCGTCCACACCGCGAGTAAGCTTGCTCGCTTGCATTTGAGGATGTTGTCACGCTCCAAAAAACAAATACAGACGGCAAAACTTGACAGCACCCACATCTACAGCGGTAGCTCCCTGTCTCAAAGCCGCAACACAACTCTAAACGGCCACAGGTCAGACCCCGGGCTTTGTGCACATGCGTCGTTAGTGTGTAGGCATAGCAGGGCGGGGTTGGACCGCCTGTAGGTTCCACAGCAGCGCTCGTTTGGTCGCATGGCGACGTGTTGTTGTCATGAACAGAGGAGGGTCAACACAAACATTCCGCCGCCGCCGCTGCTGCCGGCTTCGTGGTTCCTCCTCTTGTCTCCTCCTCTCCTCCTTCCTCCTGAATTAACACCATGATTCACTACGCATCATCACCAAATGTGTATGTTGCGTGTAGCATGGTCGTGGTTAGCGTGTGTACGGATTTCGTCTGCTGCTGTGCTGCCGCCGAAAGAAGAGGAGGCCGAAGTTCCTCTTTTGGGGGGGGGGCGCCTTAGGCTGCCTCTTGACTTCGTACTGCTGCTACAGCAGTACAGGAGTAGCACAGCATACTGGTAGATTTTTCAGCGCAAGCAGCAGAGGCAGCAACACTGCTGTATCCACAGCCCGCATAGCTAATCGATAGATACCGCCGTATCATGGCTGCCTGGCAGCGTGGTAGGGTTTCCCCCGCCTTGGGTTGTTGGGGAGTTAGTTTTGTGTGGCGCAAGGAACAAAAATTCATACTGCTGCTGTAGCGGTGTGCTCTGCTGTGGCATGCAAAAATACGTGTCGTTTGTTATGTAGCAACGTACAACAACAGCGGCATGAGCATGATATCAGGACCAAATACCGCATGCTAGCGGACCTGTACCGGCTGTTCTTTTGCTTTGCGATGGTGCATGGGCGGACGTGGCCTGTGCATGTCCAAAAACTCAGGTGTTATTATTTATCACACCTTGGGCGTGCTTGATTCTTATCTCGACGACCTCTTTAATGTATCGCCGCCTACAAGCATCGTGTTCCCTACTTCCCCCAACACGGTACATCCGAAGAGGAGCCAAAGCGGCCCATCCACTAGCACATAAGATGATGCCTGCAGGCAGTTTTATAGTAGGCCGCTCCATGGGAAGCGTAGACGACGGTAAGACATGCGCTGAGTAAGGTAGTATATCACTACAATACAAGTACATGTATCCTTTGCGGCCTTTACCCTCTACCGTTGCCCTCTCCCTCTCTCTGACCTCTCTCTCTGCCTCTCTCTCTGTCTCTCTCTCTGTCTCTCACTCGGACTTGGTAGCTTCGTCGGACGCCAAAATTAGCGGCTCGATCCCCAGACTCGAATATGGCGCCCCGCGGCGAAGCATGTCCTTGGCGATGACAGTGGCCATAAACAGCGCGGACCAGAGTAGGTTCGCACTCCGACCATCGGTAGCCGGCCGTCTCGAGGTGCGCATTGCCTTATGTGAGCGTTCACCTTTATGTTGACTGATGTGTACGTAGTGCCATTCAAACGTCCGATCAGTGCTTGCATGTCGAGTCGTCGTTGACATCCAAACTCCAAAGACTGGCGGCTGGTAACACGTGCAATTCGCTAGCAGCACAATTCGTTAGCAGCCGCACAAAGAGTAGCACCGTCACCAGCATAGTTGATACGTCCTTGGCAACGTTGTGCATGTGGGTACCGCGAAGTCGTATGGATAAATGTGTGCGCGACTGTGCAGTGCAGCTGCACGCTGCTGATTGGTCGTCTGTCATCGCTTGATATAATACCCGTCGTAACCGACGAGTTGAGTGTGAGTATCTTTCTCCTTCCCGACAATGTCTCGTGGTGGTTTCCCATGACACTGCATGATCCTGCCGGCAGAGACGTCGATGA